CGGATGTACAGAATGCGAATACAAAACTATACGCGCGAGGTCTTTAGCTAGGCACATCATGAAACATACGGGAACGTGCAAGTTCACTTGTAATAAATGCGACGCTTCATTTAGAACCAAAGTATGGTTAGACAATCACATTTTGCAGAAGCATCCTTTCTGTACCACTTCCGTGTCTCATAAGATACACGAATGTACCCATTGCGGCTATAAAACTACCCACATGCAGGCCTTAGCTAGGCATATCATGGAACATACCGGAACTAAGCTCAAGTGTACAAAGTGCGATGCTTCGTTTGCGCTGAAACAGTCATTGCACAATCACATTGTACGGAAACATCCCGAGTTCACTGCTTCTGTGTCTAGTAAGGTACGCGAATGTACGCATTGCGAATATAAAACGATACGCGCGCGGGACTTTATCGGGCATATGATGAAACATACTAGAGCTAAGGTCACGTGTACAAAGTGCGATGCTTCGTTTACGTTTAAACAGTCATTAGACAACCACATTATACAGAAGCATCCCGAGTTTGCGGCTTCTGTATCGTGCAAGGTACATGAATGTACGCATTGTGAATACAAAACGACACACCCGGGGTCTTTGAATAGGCATATTGTGAGGCATAACGAAGCCAAGTTGAAGTGTACCAAGTGTGATGCATCATTTAGGCTTAAACAGTCACTAGATGACCATATTTTACGGATTCATCCTGAGTTTACTGCTTCCGTTTCTCGTAAAATATATGAATGTACACAGTGTGAATATAAAATCACGCGAAAAGACAGATTTAATAATCATTTAAGGAAACATACAGGGTGATTTTTTAGAAAGGTACACAAAAAATTTGAATACCGAAATTGAAGGCAACAGTATGCTCCTAACTTACGACCGTATCGTCAGTCGTTCCTACAATTGAAGAGCAAAAATGCAAAAACCGATAAATCCGTTTTTTACGATTTTTGAGTTAGGCATGGAATTGGGTTAATGGAAAATGGGATTTCAAAAAGTTTTAAATCTGACGGGGATTTTTCTCTAGAGGTTTTGTCATGGATTTGCATTTTTGCTCTTCAATTGTAGGACGCCTTTATTGTCTCCTTGATTTCGAGATTTCGAGGTTACGTCGCAGATATCTATTTGCATCAATCAATTTTAATTTATATCATCTGTTATATCAGCCTCACATTTCCTAGAGTTCAAAAAGAAAACAAAGCCTTACAACAGGAGAGCGCTGATGCTGACAGGAAGCAGCAGAAATCTAGAAATACCCCAGAAGGAGAAAAAAGACTATGAAAATCAAGGAGGCCATAAAGGCGTCCAACTTTATATATATATATTGAGACGTGGTCATTGTCGTCTAGACCAGTTAGGTGAAAAATTAAAGCTTCCGCCTTTTGTTGGGTACTTCGACAAAATTTAAGCAAAGAGGACTCTTTATACTTTTTTAATTCTCTCTAGCTTTCAATTTACTTTACCATCATTTAAATTCACTTAACTTACAGTAGTAGTAATTCATTTTACACTATTGTTGCTACTGTTATCAATGTAATTGCAGCTCCTGATGATGATGGCAAAGTCCATTGAAAGCTAGAGAGATTAAAAACCAACGAAGCTTTAATTTTTCACCTATTTATATATATATATATATATATATCAGTTTTTTTAGTTCACGACGTTTCGAATTATTCACCTGAAGAGAACATTTTTTCTGTACATATTCAATTTTTTTTAGTTTGTTTGTTATACATTTCAAATTGTATTTGGAATAAACATACTTTGATAATACATGTCTTCTTATTAATAAACCAAAAAATCAGCATGGAATAAAAATACAAAGTATGGTACTACTAAAAGAAAATAATAGATTTGGCTTTACTTGTTGATGTGGTACAGGGTGGACCAGAAAGAATATAGCCTATTTCTCGAGTATCCATCACGCTTTGACGTCTACTGAGGTGAACAGTTGATCAGCAAGTAACATTTTTGTGTTAGTCTGCAACGTTGGCAATAATGTATCGGGTATAAATCTAATGAAACTTGTTTGTGGCGTTCTGTTTTGGCATACAAAAAACTTTTCTAGATAAGAACTGTTGGCAAGTACAAAATGAATCTGTAGCGTACAACAAAATCAAAACGAAATTCGGCTCTCTCTACATGGCGTTGACAGATCCGTCAGAACTATATGGCCTGCTGTCATTCTACCGTGAAATAAGGTATACGTAGGCACGCCAGCACTACTCTCTAAAAATGTGCAGATGTCTTTTTCTTTCATCATGTTCCATTGTTTGGCTTGTGATCGAAACTATACAGGGTGTCCGCAAAGTTGGAGTTTTCCTTTTCAGAAACAACTACCCTTGAAATAACAAAGGTAATGTGTAGTGAAACGAGGGCGACCAAGTAAAAAAAAATAAAGGAAAAAGTACTCACTCTCCAGTTGACGAGAAGGGCTAAGTACGTCTCTGCCCGAAATCATACCGCTCCAACAGAAAATGAAATCAGCTGATGCGCTACCGAGCAGACCCAGGCAAACAAGGAAGGCAAAATGTTGCGTAAAAAGTCTAGGTATTGCATCCCGTCCAATCGATTTGGTAGAATAAATGGTCCAATGAGCATACCGTTCACCATGCCAGCCCAAACATTCACCGATGTGTTGAATGATGTTTGTTGAAAATGTGCCCGACGGACAGCGTGCGGATTTTCTACTGACCAAACATGAGTGTTGCGAAAGTTATTCACCCCATTACGCGTGCACTTCAAAAAGTCCGGATTATTGTCATGTTGATGCAATAACCACTCACAAAACCGCACTCTTGCTGGAAAATCGTCAGGTTGAAGGGCTTGTACACGTTGGACGTGAAAGGGATACAGCCCCTCTTCACGCAGCGTTTGCCACACTTTAGTTTTTGATACTTGCACTTCTCTAGCCACGTCTCTAGTGCTTGTTGAGGGATTCTGGTCTACGCGATTACCTCTACACGCGTGACCGTGACCGTCGGTTGAAGGTTGCATACTGACCTGACCCACTGACCCCGACCCAGTTCTGTCGTCGGGTTGAGCTAGTGTCCTAGTACCACTCGGGGATGTCGCGGCTACAGGACGGTATTCAGATATTTTTGATGTTGCAGAGCCCTTTATCTCGGTTCCCTTAAGACATTGGTGTATATGGTACTAAGAAAAATTGCTTATGTTTTCAAGATCTACACGACGTGTAAAGGAAAACCCCAACTTTGCGGACACCCTCTATAATAGATTAATAAAGATTAGGCATTTAATACCCGATTTGAACATCTATATTTCCAGAAATAATCCACGAGTACATATGAGACATGAATTTCCAAACACTAAGGAATGTCTTTGTTTGAAATGGCACGATAAGAAATAGGGATATTCGATACGATCCGATATTTAGAAGTATCGATACTTTTGCTTCCGATCCCCGCAACTTTGTATCGATATTTTTATATACGATACTTTGGTGTACCGATACATTTCACGAGTATCGTTATCCTTCGATCCGTACTGTGTCAGAAAGAGTGAAGAGTGACTAAGTTCAAATTGCTTTTCTTCTTCACGACCTCTCATTATTTATTTTGGCTTCCAGGGTTGCCATATTAGGGGGTTTTCCCAAAAATCAGGGAAGTTTTATTTCAATGGGGAAGATTTTGGGAAAACATATTTTACTGGGAAGGTATGTAAAATTTTATTAAATGGCGTTACATAGTTTACTTCTTATGTATTTATTTGTCTTGCGATTCGAAACAAATACTTTTACCTTTTGGGGTATTTAACGACATATGAAAAATATATCGCTCAAAAAAATATTTTGAGACCCACGAATACCTAATAAATCGTAAACCTATGGTAACAAAAAATAAATGGATTTTTACATTTCGACTGCGGAAACTGTTGGATTCCGTTCAGAGAAATTACGCACACAAGTGTTTATAGCATCGATTGATTAAACGTTATGGTTTAAAACAACGTATTTGGGAATCTAGTCATGCAGTTGAAAAAAGTAAACATTATTTTGAGGGTTGTAGAAAAAACAACATCCATTTTCGGCAGTCTATGTTCCATATCGAAAGGTTTCGATATTTTTATTCCGATATTTTAGAGTATCGATACTTCCTAAAACGATACGAATCGATACATGGTATCGAGACCTTTCATCTTCGAAACATAACTACTAAGAAATGTCCGTGTTGGAAATGTCACGATTCCTGTTTGCGTAGTGACATCTGTAGGTGATTTTGTTAAGTACATGATTGAAATTGAAGTATTAGGAGTAGTTACTTTTATTTTTCCCCAGCAGGTATCACTACTGTTTAAAGTTAGGTTATTTCCTTGTTTTGTTTTTGTTGTTTATTGTTGATTTATGTCTTTTCTTGATTTTTTATCAACTTTGATTTTTGAGACTTGAGGCATTTGGACACATTATCTTCGAAATATTTTAGTCTTTGTCGCCTTAATCTCAAGAAACTAGTATGAAACCAAAAACTGATTTGAAACCAGATGATGAGCTCTGCATAAAATCGGAAGAAGCTTATCCTGACTATGTATCTGATTATGATAGGTATATGGCTAGGACTTATTTAAAATTTCATCAATCTTTCTATTGTTCTGCAAGGTTCTGTGAAACATATGTAATCCCCACATACAGAAAAATCCAAATAGCACTGACGAGGTGATGTGTTGATTCTGTGGCCTCGTCACTCTGGTTGCTAGGCAACGTGGTACTTCCATCTCTTTCTAACATACGTATTGCACGCTTTTCTCTCGTACACATCACGACGTCGGTGGTATATGGATTTCTCTGTATAGCAAGATGGAGTTGTATGGACCCACCACATATCTGTGTGATCTATGAACTTAGACTTGGTATATTATCAAATTTATTTAATATACTTGTTTTCTGAAGAAACTGGGGCATTGAGAAGAGCTATAAAAAAGTTGTTGATATCCTCGATATCATTGTTGTCCGAAAATAGTATTTTTTCAGTGTCAGAGATGAACGCTGTGATGGAATCGACCAGGCAAAAATGGAGAATCGGTTTGTGGTTAAATCTGAAAAACCAGAACTAAAACCAAATGTTAACAGCATAATGTTTGAAAGTGTGGACACTTTGATGCCGAATGAAGGTGTTGACATTAAATCTGAATATCACGAAAACGCCCTATCTGATTTAACATGGCATAGGTAGGCCTGATTCTGTTTTGCATCTATTTCATTTCACTCTAAAGATTCAAGAAAAACAAATCAGTTGTACAGTGCTTTTCAAAAATGTCTCCCCCTACATACGTTGCATGTTACAATGCTGAAAGTGATGAAAAAAATGTGTTATCCAGAGATACATGCAAAAAGGCTACTAAATGGCATTTTTTTATTATTAAAATTTAAAATTGTATACATATAATATGTTAAGATAATTGTCCTTGTCCCTTCATTGCCGTTTTAGCATCAAAATTGAAGAGAAATTAGAACCTGGGATTGAAGCTGACTGGTCAGCAGATTCTTTTGGCCAAATGAAAATGGAGCTCCAAGAGTCAGAAGAAAAACCACATATGAGCATCACACATTTTGAAAATATGGACGCTTTGGGGCTAAATGAAGAATTTGACATTAAAACAGAAAGTGATCAAAGTGACAGAGTTGTATCGGCGTACGATAGGTGAGTCTCCTTCAATCCTTGAACGTTAACGTGTATAGTTGTTCCACTGTGGAGCTTTCAGTAGTTTTTACGCCCTATATAGAATAGGAAACGGTTTGTCTCCTTTCGATTGTTATTTTTTTTACATTTCAAAATCTGCAGTATTTCTGGGCTTGTTGATATGAAACGTGTAAACGAAAAATGATGTACGTGATTTCCAAGTTTTTAAGTGAATTCTACCTTATTTTTATAACATTCAATGCAAAGTTGGGATTCTGTGGTTAATGAAATTATGATGCATGTCAGTGAAGACTGTTAAAATAGAATAGAATTTTTTTTCAGTGCACAAATAAGGAAAAAGGGGAAAAGGAAACAAAAATATTCACAGATCGAAAAAGGAAAAAAGATGTTTAGCTGCTATATTTGTAACTATATGAGCCATCATAAACAAGATTTGATCGTTCATAGCAAAAGCAATTGTCATTTAGGATCTAGTTTGAAAGAATCACGGTCCGCTTCCAGGAAACGGTACCGAATAAATAAGTTTTTTTGTGGCAAATGTAATGAGGTGTTCAAAAACAAAACGGTTCTAGATAATCATGTCGTTAAAAGGCATATCGGATTTGCCGCATCAGTTTCATCAAAGTTACACGAGTGTACGATATGCAATTTCAAAACCGTTTATAAGAGTCACTTGACCAGGCATACGTTGATACACAGTTCTTTTTCTGACTTGTACATCTGCAAACATTGCAAGACGTCATTTAAAAAGAAGCAATCGCTGTTTGACCATATCTTAAAGAAACACCCCGACTTTAGGGGGACAGTTTCTGGTAAGATATATGAATGTATGCATTGTGATTTCAAAAAAACCAGCAGGACCGATTTTATAAAGCACATGGCGAAACATAATACTAAAAAAACATTACGTTTAGAGAAACATTCAGAATTTGCTCTTGCATGTACACATTGTGAATATAAAACTACGCATGCAACGGAATTAGCCGAGCATTTGACGAAACATACTGGAGATACGCTCTCGTGTACAAAGTGTGATGGGTCATTTTTAAGGAAACAGTCATTATATCACCACATTTTACAAAAGCACCCTGAGATTGCCGCTTCTGTGTCTAGTAAGATACACGAATGTACACGTTGTGAATATAAAACCACGTACTCGCACTACATTGCTAGCCATATGATGAAGCATTCGGGAGCTAAGTACCCGTGTATGAAGTGTAATTCTTCATTTTTAAGCAAGCATTCGTTGGACAACCACATTTTACAGAGGCATCCCGAGATAACTGCCTCTGTGACTCACAAGATTCACGAATGTACACATTGCGAATATAAAACTACACGCGCGAGAGATTTAGCTGGCCATAACATGAAACACACTGGAGTTAGGTACACGTGCGCGACGTGCGATGCGTCATTTACAACGAAATTATGGTTAGATAACCACATTTTGCAGAGACATCCCGAATGTACAGCTTCCGGATCTCGTAAGATACATGAATGTACACACTGTGAATATAAGTCTCTACAAAAGAAGCAATTATCTATTCACATGATGAAACATGCTGCAACTAAGCTCACGTGTCCAAAGTGTGTTGCGTCATTTACAACGAAACTATGGTTAGATAACCACTTGTTGCAGAAACATCCTGAATGTACAGATTCTGTGTCTCATAAGATATGCGAATGTACGCACTGTGAATATAAAACTACATTCGCGCACTGTTTAGCCGCGCATATCACGAAACATACCGGAGCTAAGCTCACGTGCACAAAGTGTGACGCGTCATTTGCATTTAAACAGTCATTAGGCGACCATATTTTACAGAAACATCCCGAGCTTACCGCATCCGTATCTAGTAAGGTACATGAATGTAAACACTGCCAATATAAAACGACGCAAAAAAGCAAATTTACTGATCATGCGAGGAAACATATACAACCCTAGTCATAAATTACGATTTTTGGCAGGTCACAGTAGTAATTATTTTCATACAGCCTTGTTCTACCAGTAGGCCCTGTGTTATATTGTGATTTATAAGATTTCATTTGTTTGTAGATTATTTGTTGAGTTCTATACATTGTATATATCGAAAAGAACAATAAACTGTTACTAATAAATTTCACGTTAAGGTTGTTCTCATCTTAGAACAGATGGTAAAACCTAAGAGAGGCATTGTGCTGATTAAACAACCGTTAGGTTTTATATGGTGTCGCATATGACGAAAGGCTCATTTCTAACCTCAATATCTCAAAAAAAAGTTTAGGTATGGACGCTAACACAAAAAATGTTGAAAATGACAAGAAGAATCTCAAAATACAAAAATACAAGGATTATAGGAAATATGTTTGGTCTGCCTTCACTTTTGAGCTACCCTGTATATCAAAAAATATTTTTATTTATTATTTAACTTTTTTCAATTCCTTATAAAAAGGAATCTATGGTACTCCGTCCTCTATGGTATCCATTTTTTTTTAAATAATTTATTTAAACACAATAATACAAAAAGTATAACCAGTTTTAACAATAATTCCCTAATCAGTGTTTGCAAACACTGGCTCCGAGAATAACAAGACAATAATTAATATCTATAAACTACAGGTACACTGCAAACTGTTGCTCATAATTTCAACAAATAAATTCATTAACATTTTTACAATCTTTCAATTCTCTAACAAAACTTCTATAGTTATTTGAATCTTTTATACAATGAGGTAAATTATTAAATTTCTTAATTGCGTCTGTGATCGGATTTTTTAAACCTATGTTAGTTCTTGTGGAAATTTGATAAACATTATTTAGTGATCTTGTTTGGTGATCATGCACGTTATGGTAGAACCTAATATTTATGTTACTTTTTAGTAGATTATTTATAATTTTATAAACAAGTTTACATTGTTCCACCTCCAATAACACTCTTAATTTGTTTAAATTTAAATTTGAATAAAGTGTATTAGAACTTGTAAGCCAATCAAAATTAAACAATATTTTCAGAACTTTATTTTGTAAAACTTGAGCTTTATTAAAATTAACTTCACCGCACATACCCCATACTGGCAAGAGGTACCTAAAATGTGTAAGAAAGAAGGCATTATAAATTTGAAATTTGCTTTTGTTGGACAAATAATCTCGACTCTTATATAAGGCAGATAGCATTGAAACTATTTTATCACAAATTCCATTTACGTGAAGTGACCAATTTAAACTTTCATCTATCAGTAATCCCAAATATTTAATACTTGACACTTTTTCTAGCGCTATATTATTTATGTTAATATTTAGATTATTGCTAACTATCTTATTTTTTTGTTTAAATATAATGTATTTTATTTTTTCAATGTTAATTTTTAATCTATTCGAAAACAGCCATTTAAGATAACTATTCAGGTCATCATTAATAAGATTCGTTAAAGCAACTTCCTTTGTTCCAGTATATACCAGTACAGTGTCATCTGCAAAGGTAAAAGATCTTCCCCTCAGATTGGCCAACTTGATTCAGTACATAAAGACTGTATAACAGAGGTCCAAACACTGACCCCTGTGGTACTCCATAGGTGCTAGATAACCATTCACTATCAATGTCTCCAAGCTTTATGTACTGTTTTCTGTCATATAAATAAGACTTAATCAAGCTGTACGAAACACCTCTAAATCCCATTTTAAACAATTTATCTAAAAGAATGTCTACGCTTACTACGTCAAAAGCTTTTTTTAGGTCAATGAAAACAGCTACAACTATTTGTTGTTTATCTAGAGCCATTGAAATGTAGTCCACAAAATCAACAACCGCAGTAAGTGTGCTACTGTTCGTTATAAAACCATATTGAAATTCATCAATCAATATATTGTGAGTAACAATGAAAGATAACATTCTTTTTTTTATTAATTTTTCTATAATCTTAGAGAATACACACACCACTGAAATAGGCCTGTAATTGTTCATACATTTAATATCTATTTATCAATACATTTCTAACCTCAATATCACAAAAAAAGTTTAGGTATGGACGCTAACACAAAAAATGTTGAAAATGACAAGAAGATTCTCAAAATACAAAAATAACAAGGATTTTCCATTGGAAATATGTTTGGTCTGCTTTCACTTTTGAGCTACCCTGTATATCAGAAAATATTTTTTATTTATAATTCAACTTTTTTTCCAATTCCTTATAACAGAGAATCTATGGCACTCCGTCATCTATGATATCCATTTAGACGAGTTGAATACATTGTATGTGTATGTGTCTCAAAGAACAATAAACTATTACTATTAATAATAAATATCATCATATTGAAACAGATCGTAAAACCTAAGGCCCGTATCGTCAGTCGTCCCTACAATTGTAGGGTGCGTTTATGGCCTCCTTGATTGCCATACTCTTTTCTCACCTTCAAAAATTTCTAGATTACACTCGTCCCGTGTCAGCGCTCTCCTATTGTTATAGTCAAAATCACGAAAGATGACTGTTACGTCATACCATAAATTGTACTGAAGTAATCAATGGACGTACGTCGATGATAAAATCACATAATGACAACAAATTTATATTATGATTTTGCGAAGTTAGGTTATTTGACTGATTATTTTTATTGTTATTTTATTTCATGGTTTTGAGTGATACCTTAATAATAATTTTAGTGGGGAGTTTTTGTTCTGACAAAAACAGTTATGAGTAGAATACCTTAAGACAGGAACACCAAAGTATTACTCGAAAACAACATAACCTATCTTTCAAATATGATCGATCATGCAACATGAAAACATCGTCTATCTTTGTCGGATACGTGCAAATTAGCAATACAGTTTGTTTAGACATTAAAATTCTGTTTGTCTCTGTCTAACATATCAGAAACTTCATTAAATATATTCACAAATCGCTGTCGTATGTCTTTACTACAGATTAAAATGATGATGTAATCGTCATCTTTCGTGATTTCGACTATAAGATATGTTTTCCTTTTAAAAATAGTAAATTTCAGGCTGATAAAACATGACATAACTCAAAAGCAAGCACAATTTGATGCAAATAGATGTTTGTGACATAACCTCAAAATAGAGCTCTGACACGGAGAAGTAGAAAACTATGACAATCAAGGAGGCCATAAAGGCGCCCTACAATTGTAGGGACGACTGACGATACGGGCTTAAGATAGGCATTTTGCTGGTTAATCAACCCTTAGATTGTACAGAGTCTCGCATATGACGAAAGGCTCATTTATAATCTCAATTTCCCCAAAAAAGTTGAATTCAGGCATGGACGCTAACACATTACAAATGTTTAAAATCACAAAATACAAAAAGGATATTCCGTTAAAAAAATGTTTGGTCCGATTTCACTTTGGGGCTACCCTGTATATTTTTATTTATAATTTAACTTTTTTTCAATTCCTTATAATAAGGAATCTATGGTACTCCATCCTCTATGGTATCCATTTAGACGAGTTGTATACATTATATGTGTCTCAAAGAACAATAAACTATTACTTTTAATAATAAATATCATGTTAAGGTCGTTCTCATATTAAAACAGATCGTAAAACCTAAGCCCCGTATCGTCAAAAAATGTAAACAACTTTTCATACGAGAGATAATAGGATATGAACACTTGATACAATCGGTATGAGCTCAAAGCTAACACAGAAGTAGACGAATATGTATAACTTACTTACCTTGCTGTGAAGACATTCCGCAGAAAGATCGGAAGAAGGAACAATATCCAACTTGAAAATGCGAAGAGATGCACCACTCACACATCACATTTTTACACACAATCATTATCACAAAACTACACTCGACTCTTTTAAGTCAAACCATCATCATAACGCTGCGGAAACCGCCGACAACGGCAGAGCGTTGCACGAAAGTCCCGACGCACTAGCCTCCGCGAACGCCGACCGACAACTGAAGCGCCTCGGCGTCAGCTCGCAGCGTGTGCAGTACGCCGGTACCGCATCGTCCGCGTCAGTGGTAGGGATTCAGCCACGCCTCTCCCGCTCTTTCTACGCTACGGACACGGCGTATCGACGCCGAAAACATTTAGTCCAGGCGCGCACATGTGATTTTCGGCCCCGCGACTGAAAAATCGTCAGCGCGGAAAAATTAATCGTAACTACATTTAGTAGCTTCGCAAACTGCTTGTGTGGTTGCGTTGATATTACGAAATAAATCCGAAACACGACGTAAAAGGCAATACTGGGTACATCCACTGATAAGTCAAAGATTGCTGAAAGGACAATTTTATAAAAATTACAGCGACTTGAGAGATCATCCTCATACATTTTTCCAATATTATAAGATGAGTCTGAACAGTTTTGATCAATTAATTCAAAGTATAGGGCCGAAAGTAACATATCAAAACACTAAGTGGAGAAATTATGTGCTACATTTTGGATTAGACAAAGATATGGTGAACTGAAATATAAATCTCATAGTATGAAGCTATGTCCTCTGCTCTAAGGAAAGCTGCGACTAATTATCAGATATGTACATCGACTTGTTAGTAGAATGTACTACATTTATTGTAATACCACATTCTAATGAAACTCACATTGTTATGAGTTATATAACAATATGTATGTTAGGTGTTGCCTAGTTTAACTATAAAGTTTTGTGGGACTCTATCTTGGATAATGTCTATGTTTATCGACTTGCTAGTATTTACAATGCAATAATTCATACTGTTATAACTTTATTGACTGATAAATTGTAGATGACAAAATGTCTCGACAATTATTGTTAGGTAGGTATTATAAAATTATATGTTTATAGGTATCTATAATAAATTTGTACGAAAATCATTTTTTTAGTTGTTTCACCATATTCATCTTAAAAAAGTTAGGTTTTTTGTTAGATGAACTATTTTTATTATTATGCATAGTATTTTACCGTAATTAAAATATCAATACTATGCTACCCTTGATGATACTCCAAAATACCTAGTCGCTATTTATACACATGGCAATCTACAATAAAAATAATTGTTTTGTGTTTATATACAAATTGTGGAAAGGATATAAAATGATTAAAAATTTGATAACAATTAGTAAAAATACAAATTTGCATGAAACAGACACCACCAGTGATATGGTTTTGTTTGCTGTTGCACATATAATCCCATTATTTATCAGAATCACCTTTAGTGTTTTGGAAAACATTGCTACGCCTCAAATTTTATATGTATATCCATTGGTATTCGTCAATATTTTCTTAAAAACCCTTTTCTATAACATTGTAGCAAAATCGCTCGATGACCTGGCAACGCCGCAACCCAGGTGACAAGAATGACAAGATCAACTGTCAAAACGTATGTCTATCCCTGGGTACAGTCAGCGCGGCGATTCTCCAATTTTCGTTTGCATTTGTTTGGAACGATTTTGGGGAAAAATTTCGCTACGGATAGTCTAGTAGAGTATATTTCAATAGTTGTGTGTGTCAGTCCTTGATGTCACGTCTTTTAATACAGTAATTTGGGACTTCATTCTAATATTGAGTAAGCAGTCAAGTATTTGCCCTAGTATGAAACCAAAAACCGATTTGGAACAAGGTGATAAGCCTTGCATAAAATCAGAGGAAGATTATCCAGACTATGTAGCAGTTTATGATAGGTATGACATGGACTTATTAAAAACCCAATCTTTTAATTGGTCTGGAAGGTTATGTGAAAATTGTGAAACGGGTAATTTCATGTCGCAGACTATCCAGTGTCCATTTTGCGTTTTGACAGCTGATCGATAAGTGACAGTTTTGTATCAATTTGTAAGATTGGCAATAATGAATCGGATGTAAATTGGTAAAACTCAGGACCGTATTCAGAGCTGTTTTTCACATATTTAGATACTTTGTAGTGAATGCGAATTTTGACAATAAAATATACGAAGTACTTATAGAAAAATGTTTATTAGAAAATCATTATAGTATTTATTATGATATAAGTCAATAGAACAGTCTGCTTTGTCCTTTCCAGTAGCTGTAATTTTACATGTATAAATAATACAGTAACATGTTTCTGGTTAATTATTCATCATCAGTGTAACATAATTCAAATATAGTGGTTTTCATTGGTCTTTAAAATCATTTGGTGTTTCAAGTTCTGAAAAGTTTAGATGATAAATAAAGTCAAAAAGTGTTTATCTTATTTTATTTCTACCTGACTTAAAATCTAATCATGATCATTACAAGCCATTTTGCATTTAGGGTTTTTTTGTACGCGAAATAGCGAAAGAAAAGAGTTGTTAGCAAGAACTCATTCCACAATTAAAATAAATAAACATTTAAAAATACATTTTAATTAGGTGACCCACGCTGTATAGAGAAGTAACACAAATAATATCGTACATTTCTATTAATCAAAAATTTAACCTGTTTTTAGTTCATTATTTTCGTTTTAGTGTCAAAGATGAACACATGGGTGAAGATATCAAGGTGAAAATGGAAAATCAGTTACCGGTTGACGTTAAATCCGAAAAACTAGATACTGAACCGACTGTGAACAGCATGAAGTTTGACACTTTAACACAAACTGAGGAGTTCGACATCAAATTTGAATATGTTGAGGACACCATATCTGATTTAACATGGGATAGGTGCGTCTAATTTTGCTTCGAAAATACCATATAGTGCTTTTCAAAAAGGTGTCCTCTATTCTTATTTTTTGGATGGGTCAAGATATCTAGCTGAAATTTGGAGTGATGGAAATGATATGATGTACTGTGCATCAAGTCCTAAAGCTTTACATTTAAAAAAATCATTTTTGAACAATCATTGACATTCATTTTTTCTCTCACAAAACATCAACGCCTGCTTCTTGAAGAAAGTTCGTAGTATGACGAGCAATATGGGGGCGTGTGTTGTCTCGCTGAAAAAAGACGTGTGGTACGCCTCGGTCGACCTGTTTGCCTTCTCCGTGTTCCTCTACCTTCTTCTATCCACACACGACACACACGCATTACCGTCATTGCAGTATAATTAACACGGCCGCCAATTTCGCGTTAGGTTAAGCCAACATCTCGATACGCAATGTAAAAGTAGCTAGCATCTTTGAATATTTTCTGAAATGGAGAGGGTGGTTGTGATACCTCATTTTAAATTTTCAGAATGGCGGGTTACAGTTTTCTCGTAAGCATAAGGAGGTGTTACGTGGTCTGTCATTCTCTTTAATAAAAGGCTCCAAGATGGGGCAAAATTGTCATTATGAAATTTTCATTCAAAAAAGAAGTGGGGAGGAGTAACTTTTTGAATCGCCCTGTAAATTAGCTACCATATATTAAAATGCCCCATTTATTAATTATCAGAATTGAAGAGAAATTAGAGCCTGGCATTGAAGCTGACCCGAATGCTGATCAGATTAAAATGGAGTTTCAAGAGTCTGGAAAGCTGAAAGGAAAACCGTCTACGAGTAGCACAAATTTTGAAAATATGGGGGCGTTGGGGCTAACTGAAGAAATTGACATCAAAAGTGAGAGTGACGAAAGCGATGATTTGGCGTTCGATAGGTGAACTTTCTCATAAAGATTTATTGAAATTATGATGCGTTGGTAGGGAAGATCATTAAAATAGAATCTCTGTTTTTCAGTGCACAAATAAAGAAAAATTGGAAAATGGAGCGAAAGTATTCACGTATTGGAGAAGCAAAGCAATCGCTCTTTGAGCCCAACGTTAGCGCGACAGTTTCTGAAAATATATATGAATGTATACATTGTACATTCAAAATAACTAGTAGGAGTCAATTTATAAGACACATGATAAAACATAATACTCAAAAGCCATTCGACTGTATAAACTGTGATTCGTCATTTACAAGCCAACGATCTTTAGATAATCACATTCTGCAGAAACATCCTATGTTTGCTGCTTCTGTATTTAGTAAAATACATGAATGTAAACATTGTGAATATAAAACCACGCACTCACACTACTTTGCTAGTCATATGATGAAGCACACTGGAGCTAAGTTCCCGTGTACAAAGTGCGATGCGTCATTTGTAAGCAGGCATTCGTTGGACAACCACATTTTACAGAAGCATCCCGAGATAACTGCTTCTGTGACACATAAGATACACGAATGTACACATTGCGAATACAAAACTACACGCGCGAGAGATCTGGCTGGCCATAACATGAAACATACTGGAGCTAAGTTCAAGTGTGCAAGGTGTGTTGCGTCATTCACAACGAAACAGTGGTTAGATAACCACACTTTGCGGAAACATCCTGAATGTACTGCTTCTGGATCTCGTAAGATACATGAATGTACACGTTGCGAATATAAATCTCTACAAAAGAAGCAATTATATATTCACATGATGAAACATACTGCAACGAAGCTCACGTGTCCAAAGTGTGATGTATCATTCACTACAGAACAATGGTTGGACAACCACATTTTGCAGAAACATCCTGAATGTACTGCTTCTTTGTCGCATAAGATGTTCGAATGTACGCAATGTGAATATAAAACTACATTCGCGCACTGTTTAGCTGCACATGTCGCGAAACATACTGGAGCTAAGCTCACGTGTGCAAAGTGTGATGCGTCGTTTGCATTTAAACAGTCATTAGGCGACCATATTTTACAGAAACATCCTGAGCTCATCGCATCTGTATCTAGTAAGGTACATGAATGTATACACTGCCAATATAAAACGACGCAAAAAAGCAAATATACTGATCACGCGAGGAAACATATACAACCCTAGTCGTAAATATACGGTTTTTGGCGGGACACAGTAATTATTTTCATACAGCCATTTCCCTCGACTAGGAGTGCTGTAATTTTGAGCATACTTTAGGTCTACTGATACATAGAAAGTGATTAAAACTCGAAATTTCGCAAAGCAGCTTAGATATGTTAATAAAGGTGCTCTGTTCGCTAGACATTCGTTAAGTCGTCGCACTTAGTATATTCATAATGTAACGGCCCCGAAGCAACGATGAGACGCCTCTGCAATGTCGACGCTCAGGCAACCAGAGTTACATTACCGTGCAGGTTTGGTACACGGACGTCTCGGTTACTGAAGGGGGCTATGGCGGGCCTACAACTGGGCTGTCTCTGCCTCTCGGCGGATACAACGCTATTATCCAGACAGAAATCTATGCGATTTATTCTGTGGATATTTGTATGTTATTTTCATGTCACCTGAAACGTTTGTAATTGTGATTGAAACGAATACAGCAGACGCTCGATAATGTAAACTAATTTAATCCAAGTGTGGTTCACATTATCGAAATGTTTACATTAGCGAACGTGATTTATATAATATTTGATTTATTAAAAGAAACGTTTAATACATACTATTTATAACAAAATAAACAAATATTCTAACAGCGATAAGTATTTTTTTAGTTAGAAGAAAAATAATTAACAATTTTTGTCTGCGAAAATTTGCGCTTAGCATTGTCTTCCAATGCCTGCGCCCGTAATTTACGAAGAACTAAAATATCCGTGTATGAAACTTCTTTTCTTTCAGCCCAATCTAAAGGTTGGTTAAAAACTTGTATAGCTTGCGCGTCAGTCACTACACTTCTGACTTCAATGGGATCGTTCTCATCATCCTCACTGTCCATATCCTCCTCCTTATCAGCATCATTCGTCTGCTTATCTTCGTTCCATAAATTAATATCAGCAGGAGTACAAACAATGTTGGGATTCACTGTTTTCAATGAATCAACAACATCCAATGACACACCAATAACATTATCATTATTGGATCGCAAACGTTCTCTAATTACGCTTAAGGGGACATCGTCTTCTTCATCATCTTCATTATTGGTACAAAAGAGATTGTTCCAACATTTTTGAATAGTTTGCTGGTTAAGTTCATTCCAGGCCATATGTAAATCTAAAACAGCTTCTCGTAAAGTCACTTTTTTTAAAGCCTCAGATAAGTTTTCAGGATTTTTTGATAAGACAGACGAAAGTAGAAACTTCCTATAGTATAGTTTGGTGAGTCGGTTGAATTAACGATGTTACGTTGGGCGGCATATACATGACGAAAATTGACCCATCCCTGCTCCTCAGTTGTTGCTCGGGAGGATGACTTGGTGCATTATCCAATAGTAACAACGCTTTTATTGGAAGCCTCTGTTGTTTTAGGAAACCTTTTACCTACAGATTGAAAACACATCTTCAAATTATGAATAGAGCATTTGTGATAATAGATTGTCATACCTGAGGGACAAAGCACCTGTGGAACCATTTCAGGAATATACTGCTAGTCATCCAAGCGGTTTTTGAACAGTCATAATCAACAGGGATATTAACATTTTTAAATGAGCGCGGATTTTTTGCTTTCCCAATTACCAGTGGCTTTATTTTGTGTGAACCATTAGCATTAGTGCAGGCTAGAAACGTTATTCGTTGTTTCTCCGGTTTTCTTCCCGGGGCAGATTTTTCAAATGATGCAGCATAGGTTTCCTCTGGTAACATTTTCCAATAAAGGCCACTTTCATCTGCGTTGTAAATTTGTTCCATTCTTAAATCTAGCTCGTTAATTGTTTTCATCAATTTTTCTTTGAATGGTTGCACTAATTGTGGTTGTGCTGATAATTTTTCACCATATATAGACAGCAGACGAATGCCATATCTTGTTTTGAATCATTGCAGCCAGCCATCACTAGCTACGAAATTTTCAGTTACTTCCAGTTTTTCATTTAACAGTCTCGCTCTCTGTTTAAGTACTTCGCCACTAACTGGGACATGATTTTCCCGTTGTTTTAAAAACCACTTATTCAGGGAATTTTCCATTTTAGGTGCCTTGGCATTTTTTTAAAGTTTTTCTTTTTCCCGGACCTCCAAATGTATTGCACGTTCTTTGTAAAATTAGAGTTTTCATATGCTTAATTTTACAGATTGTTGCTTTTGATACTCCATATTTTTTTGCTAACTGTGTCACTCCCGCACCTAGTGCGACTTCGTCTATGATTTTCACTTTCTCACTCAACTTTAAACACTTTCTTTTATAGCATGTGGATGCCATAGTCGTAAAATATATTAACGCGTGCAGTGTATTCACTTAAGTTCAAAAATGAAATACATACGTACGTATAAATGTATCCTAAACGATCATACGACTGACCGAGTTTGTCGTATTTTATCGCAGAGGTGAATCCCCTACACTCTACATCATAAATCGGGGACTCCCCGACGCCCGACATAAATCATCATCGAGGCTTCAGCATTTTACCGTCGCGCTGTTTCGGTGCGCCGAGAGTTGTTGTTTACGTTATCGAGCGTACACATTGTTTACGTTATCGCGCGTTCCGTTTGATCCTATAGAACGAAGTTTGTGTTTACATTAGCGCAAGTTTTCATTATCCCGTGTTTACGTTATCGAGCGTCTGCTGTAGATATTATTATTATTAGCTTCTTCGAGAGCCAGGCTGTGATGAAAGCACTAAATTCTGCAGCCAGTGTGAGCAACTGCTTTATTTTATTCAGTGTGAAGTTGAGATTCTGTGATTAATGAAATTATGATGGTTGTTTCTTCTTCTTTCAGTCACTGTTGATTCCACTCTGAAAACCTATATCTCAAGAACTAAGTATATGATGGATACCTGTGTTCTTTCAAAATATTAAAACGTCAAAGTATCAGGCATTCTGTAGCAATATAGACTGCAAATAAAAGATATTTGAATTGCATGCATATTCCCTATACAGGGTGTCCACAAAGTTGGGGTTTTCTTTTACACGACGTGTAGATTTTGAGAAAATAAGCGGACTTTTTTAGTAGTATAAACACCGATGTATTAAGAGAACCGAGATATTGGGCTCCGCAAACTTGAACCAAACCGAAGCCGGTCCTGTCCTATCCCTCGATCACAGCCTCAGCGTACAGTTATACGACTACGATGTAAATACGGATTTTACGACAAATCCGAACTTGGAATTTCAATTCAACTGTACTTTTTCATTTATTTTTTTTACTTGTTCGCTCACGTGTCTGAAACGGAAAACCCCAACTTTGCAGGCACCCTGTATATTGTATTAATTAGTACATTATTAGTATAATCAGCACATTTTTCTATACATATTTAGATGTTTTCAATGTATTACAGAGTTCCTTTATGTTGTAGATTTCATATTCTATTTGAAATAAATACATTCGAAATACATGTCTTTATTAATAAATCATAAATTTTGCATAAAATTAAAAAATGTTGAGAATTGTACCGCAAGAAGCAAATTCAATTTTAAATTATCGCCGCCGCCGTGCTTTGACTCGTTCCGTATCGAAAACGGGGAATCTAAAATCATAGTTTAGCGACATCTGCGTATTTTTTTGTTAACTCATGATTAATTCAATTGAGAAATTTATCAAAGGATGTCACAAGTGACATCTATGTCTAAATAAATATTGAAATCTGAATGATTAGATATTTCTTTTTTAGCCCAATAGATATCGCTACTGCTTTTAGGTTGTAAACTTGTGTTAGTGAATGGTTGTTTGTTGTTAATTTTCTGATGTGGTTTTTATTTTTTTGTCAACCGGCTGGTTTTTGAGACTTGGGAAAGTTATATAATTTTAATCCTGGATGTCTCACGTCTTTCGATACATTTGGGAATTCATTCTAATATATTGAGTAAGCAGTAAAGCACAAGTATGGAACCAAAAACTGATTTGGAACAAGGTGATAAGCCTTGCATAAAATCAGAGGAAGATTATCCTGACTATGTAGCAGTTTATGATAGGTATGATATGTACTTATTTATAATCTCATCCATCTTTTAATTGATCTGTAGGATCCGTCATGGGCTATCCATTTTGCAGCGCCTATTTCACGAGTATCCACCACGGTAAAATGACAGCTGATTATCTAGTAATATCTCAAAATTCCCTATATCGGCACAGGACACATAAATCTGACGGATCCGTCAACGCTAGGTAGTCAGAACCGTATTTTGTTTTTTTTATACGCTACAGATTCATTTTGTATTTGCTAAAAACTGTTTTATTTAGAAAAGTTCATTTGCATACAAAAAACATAATCTGACAAACGAGTTTTCCCAGATTTACTCCCGAGGCTAACAAAAATATAACTTGTTGATCAGCTGTGTACTTCAGTACTTTTAGTGAGTGGAAATTTTGACAATAGAAACCAAGTATACATAGAAAAATGTTTATTAGAAAATCCTAGTATAACTAGGGTTTAAGTTAATTATCATTGTTCTAGTGTCAAAGATGAACACTGGGATGGAGTTAACCAGGTGAAAACAGAGAATCGATTACTGGTTGAAGTTAAATCTGAAAAACTCGATACAGAACCAACTGTGAACAGCATGCAGTTTGAAAATATGGACCCTTTAACACTGATTGAACAGTTTGAAATTAAATCTGAATATGTTGAGGATACCATATCTGATTTACCATGGGATAGGTGGGCATGATTTTGCTTTGAAAATACCAAAGGAACAAATCAGTCAGTTATACAGTGGTTTTCAAAAAGGTCTCCACTATGCTTATTTTTTTAACTGTTGGCGAATCAGGCTCTGCCCACGGACTCTTTCTTCATATTCTTGGTTTTTAGCGTAAGAGTCGCAGTTGATCGTTTCCGGATGCCGGTTGGGCTCCACCTTGCAATATTTTTTGAAATGGAGGTGGGGTTATGTGATACCTCATTTTAAATTTTCAGAATGACCGGTAAAAGGTGAGCATTTTCGAAAGATAGAGATAGAGAGAGATGCTCTTACATCTACTTGAATAAGGGGCTCGCAAGATGGGTATCAACCAGCAGTCAGAAATTTTCCACTGCTATGTTAAAATATCGCATTCATGCATCAATTTCGTCATCTTATTCAAAATATAAGCGGGAAGGAGGATCTTTTTGAGTCACCCTGTAAATTAGCTACCATATATTAAAATGTCCCATTCATGAATTATTAGAATTGAAGAGAAATTAGAGCCTGGGGTTGAAGCTGACTCGATTGCTGATCAGATTAAAATGGAGTTCCAAGTGTCTGAACGGCAGGAAGAAAAACCATGTGTGAGTAGCGCAAATTTAGAAAATATGGGGGCGTTAGGGCTAACTGAAGAAATTGACATCAAAAGTGAGAGTGACGAAAGCGATGATTTGGAGTTCGATAGGTGAGTCTTCTTTTGGGTGTCCCAAACTGATATGTCAATTATGATGCGGTATTAGTGAAGATCATTGAAATAGAATCTCTATTTTTCAGTGCACGAATGAAAAAAAATCGGAGAATGGAACAAAAATATTCTGACAATATATATGAATGTATACATTGTACATTTAAAATAACTAATAGGAGTAAATTTATAAGACACATGATAAAACATAATACTCAAAAGCCACTCGAGTGTGTAAACTGTGATGAGTCATTTACAAACAAACGATCGTTAGACCAGCACATTTTGCAGAAACATCCAGAGTTTACTACTTCAGTGTCTCATAAGATACATAAATGTACATATTGTCAATATAAAACAATATATAGAAGGGATTTATGTGCGCATATGATGAAACATACTGGAGCTAAGCTCACGTGTACAATGTGTGATACGTCATTTACAATCCAACGATCTTTAGATAATCATATTCTGCAGAAACATCCCAAGTTTGCTGCTTCTGTATCTAGTAAGATACATGAATGTACACAGTGTGAATATAAAACGACAGAAGCGCAGCGTTTAGCTGGGCATATCATAAAACATACTGGAGCTAAGCTCACGTGTACAAAATGTGATGCGTCATTTACATGCCAACGATCTTTAGATAATCACATTTTGCAGAAACATCCTGAGCTTAGTGCTTCTGTATCTAGTAAGATACATATATGTACATATTGTCAGTATAAAACTACATACACAAGGCTTTTAACAGATCATATGATAAAGCATACTGGATCTAAGCCCACGTGTACAAAGTGTGATACGTCATTTATAAGCCAACGATCTTTAGATAATCACATTCTGCAGAAACATCCTAAGTTCACTGCTTCTGTATCTAGTAAGATACATGAATGTACGCATTGTGAATTTAAAACGACAGAAGCGCGGCATTTAGCTGGGCACATCATGAAACATACTGGAGCTAAGCTGACCTGTACAAAATGTGATGCGTCATTTACATGCCAACGATCTTCAGATAATCACATTTTGCAGAAACATCCCGAGCTTAGTGCTTCTGTATCTAGTAAGATACATACATGTTCGCATTGTCAGTATAAAACTACATACACAAGGCTTTTAGCAGATCATATGATAAAACATACTGGAGCTAAGCTCACGTGTACAAAATGTGGTACGTCATTCACAAGCCAACGATCTTTAGATAATCACATTCTGCAGAAACATCCTAAGTTCACTGCTTCTGTATCTAGTAAGATACATGAATGTACACATTGTGAATATAAAACGACAGAAGCCCGGCATTTAGCTGGGCACGTCATGAAACATACTGGAGCTAAGCTGACCTGTACAAAATGTGATGCGTCATTTTCATGCCAACGATCTTTAGATAATCACATTTTGCAGAAACATCCTGAGCTTAGTGCCTCTGTATCTAGTAAGATACATAAATGTACACATTGTCGCTATGAAACTACATACACAAAGCTTTTAGCAGATCATATGATAAAACATACTGGACCGAAGTTCACATGTACAAAGTGCGATGCGACATTTACAAACAAACGATCGTTAAACCACCACATTTTACAGAAACATCCTGAGCTTGCTGCTTCAGTCTCTCATAAGATACATGAATGTACACATTGTCAGTATAAAACTACATTCACAAGGCTTTTAGATAGGCATATGATGAAACATACTGGTGCCAAGCGCACGTGTACAAAGTGTGATGCATCATTCACAAACACAACATCGTTGGACAACCATATTTTGCAGAAACATTCTAAATTTGCCGCATCAGTGTCTAGCAAGATACGTGAATGTACGCATTGTGAATATAAAACTACGTACGCGCACTGTTTAGCTGGTCATATGATAAAACATACTGGAGCTAGGCTTACCTGTACAAAATGTGATGCGTCATATACAAACAAACGAACTTTAGACCACCACATTTTACAGAAACATCCTGAGTTTATTGATTCAATATCTCATAAGTTACATGAATGTACACATTGTGACTATAAAACTACATACGTGAGGAATTTAGATAGGCACATGGTGAAACATACGGAAGCGAATATCACGTGTACAAAGTGCTATGCATCATTTACAAACCAACCATCGTTAGACAACCATATTTTACAGAGACATCCTAAATTTACCGAAGCTGTGTCTAGTAAGATACATGAATGTACACATTGTGAATATAAAACTGCATTCGCGAACTATTTAGCTAAGCATATGAAGAAACATACTGCAGCTAAGCTCGCGTGTACAAATTGTGATGCGTCGTTTACAAACAAACGATCGTTAGACCATCACATTTTACAAAAACATCCTGATGTTACTGCTTCAATGTCTCATAAGATACATGCATGTACACATTGTCAGTATAAAACTATATACATAACGAGTTTACACAGGCATATGTCGAAACATACCGGAGCCAAGCTCAAATGTACAAAGTGTGATGCATCATTCACAACCAAACGATCGATAGACAATCATATTTTACAGAATCATCCTGAGTTGGCTGCTTCAGTGTCTCATAAAATATATGAATGTACACATTGCGATTATAAAACGACATTCACGCAAAGTATGAAAAAACATAAAGATACTCACGTGACATGATAACACAAGAGGGATAAATTTACTAAAGATGTGAGGTCTTCAGTAACTTTCAGCAAGGAATTCAAAGATGACCTTGAATTTGTCCTTGGCCTTCATCTTTAAGGTCAACTCGTGGCCAATTTTACTGTCTTTAAATAGAAACCCTCATTTTTGTTGCCGGCAATCGAAAGAAAAGAAAATTCCACTTTCAAACACAAAAGGTCATGGCAACCACAAAGGTCAAACGAAGATCAAATACATATATGCTGCTAGGAAAATACTTCTATAAATCTCGCAGGATGAGGATGAAAATAACTATCAACGGTAAATTTGAACGAGGAAGCGAACGCTAATCTTGGATTTGACCATGACATTCACCTTCAAGGTTATTTCAAAGTCAACTTTAATTTTTTCGATGAAAATCCCTATTTTTATTGCCGGCAATCGGAAGACCTGGAAATTTTATATTCTAATTTGTTTTAAAATTTAAGATCAAGACGACACCTCTTCCATAAAGTTTTTTGTTTCACGATGTTTCGATTGATGTGATCTTTAATCGTCATCAGTTCACGTCGTGAAACAACAGACCTTATAGACAGTCGAGAAACTACATCTGATGTTCTTTTCTTTTAAAATGTACTAATCTTTAGGTATCTAATGTTTATGCTATTTTTATTGATTGTATATACAGGGTGACTTTGAAGTTCAGTCATTAATTTTCAGATAATGATTGTAGAAGGAAGATAAACCAAAATATGTGTGTAAAAATAAAAAAAAAATTTACCTTGTTTTATAAAGTATCCTCCCGACAAGTATTTCAGTGCGGACTTTGATCGTGAGGTCCCCTGTGAGGTCTTAAGTCACCTGATTCACGAGCCCGTTGTACTACATTAACAAAGGCACGAGGGGTTGGTTGCACTCGATTGGGAAACCGGTCCGCATAAACATGTGCCATTTTTTATTTCGTTTGAGCCACGCAACACACTATTCACTGACACTGACTGTATACAAATGAATAAAATAATTGTAAAAACATCGTTCCAAATTCTTTCGCTTTTTTGTTTCCAACGCGATGAACCGATACGGCGGATTATATCCGTTGTCGCCAAACACGAGCACATAATATTATTATTGAGACAGGGCGGTACTCAAACTTCCAAAGGGCTATAACTTTGTTACTTTAATTTTACCAGAAAAATGGTAAAGGAAAAAACATTTCTTTTGATCAGATCTACTCACTGTTAAAATAAATGACTCAACTTCGAAGTCACCCTGTATAGCCTATGTCATGAGTATCCATCTCGGTACAATGACAGCTGATTATCTAGTGATATCTCAAAAATTCCCGATATCGGCACAGGACACATAGTTCTGACGGATCCGTCAACGCCAGGTAGACAGAGTCGAATTTTGTTTTGATTTTTTGTGCCCTACAGATTCATTTTGTACTTGCTAGGTCTTTTATTTAGAAAAATTTGCATACAAAAAACGAAACGCTAAAAACAGGTTTTAATAGATTTACACCCCATCCATTATTGCCAACGTTGCAGACTAACACAAAAATGTCACTTGCCGATCAGCTGTTCACCTCAGTAGACGTCAAAGCGTGATAGATGCTCGTGAAATAGGGTATATTAGGGTTATCCTGATTCTAACCCAATAAATCTACATTTTCTAAATAGAAAAATTGCTTTAAACGAATTTAATATTCTTTTTCTGTATTTGTATATTTTCTGGATACTTTACAGAGCTTTTTTATGTTGTACGTATGACATTTTATTTGAAATAAAGATTTAAATAAAACACGTCTTGTTAACAAATTTTAAATCTTACTACAAGCAAACACTAGAATTGGCTTCCATTCTAGATGTGGTACACACAAAACTGTATGAACACAAGGGTAACCAGAATTTTGCCCTGTTTGGCGGTATGTATTGAATAAATCAAAGTTTTACGTTGAGTTTGCAGTTTTTGCATATTCATACAATTTTTTATGACAGTCTCGTTTTTGAATAAACAGTTCTTAATTTTATTTACTCTTATTAGCAAGGAAGTTTAAGGATAATACTGCAACTGGAAATACGTCACATCATGACCTACTTTTTGTAAGAATTTTGTTTAGTGCAAAGTTTTACGGTTTTTACATTCAATAAAATAATGAGCAAAACATTTTTATTATTGTGAAAAAGCGCTTTTCATAAAAATCGTATTTTGACTTGACTCGTTTCGTATCGAGAAAAGGGAATCCGCGATGACAGCTTAGTGACATCTAGGTATTTTTTGTTAAACCAATTTATGCAAGTTCAATTTTCTCCCGCTAGGCAGCGCTTGTGTAATTGTGATCAAAACTGTCAAAGTCAAACGTAGATTGTGATTGTCAAAAAAGATTATAGAAAGGTGATGCTTGTTTATGTTTATTGTTATTTTTAATTTTTGATTTCTGAACATCCCGTCGGTTTTTTTAGATTTGAGGTTTTGGATAAACAATTTTTGAAAGAATTATTTCATTCAATATTAAGCAAACAGAAGCCTACGTCCAGTATAATATGAAGCCAAAGACTGATTTCGTACCAGGTGATAAGCCCTTCACGAAGTCGGAACAAACTGATCCTGACTATGTACCAGATTATGATAGGTATGATTTGGACTCATTTATAATTCCATCAATCTTTGTTTGACTTACTTCTGGGGGCCCATATTACCAATTTTGTACATTCATTCTGCATTCATGTGAACCTTATCTGTAAGCGTAGATTTTGGGTATCAGGTTTCAAGAACAATTCTTATTTTAAGAGAAATCAGTGGCGTACCATAAACGTCTGCCAAAATACAGGGTGACTTCGAAGTTGAGTCATTTATTTTAACAGTGAGTAGATCTGATCAAAAGAAATGTTTTTTTCCTTTACCATTTTTCTGGTAAAATTAAAGTAACAAAGCTATAGCCCTTTGGAAGTTTGAGTACCGCCCTGTCTCAATAATAATATTATGTGCTCGTGTTTGGCGATAACGGATATAATCCGCCGTATCGGTTCATCGCATCGGAAACAAAAAAGCGAAAGAATTTGGAACGATGTTTTTACAATTATTTTATTCATTTGTATACAGTCAGTGTCAGTGAATAGTGGTGTCTGTTGCGTGGCTCAAACGAAATAAAAAATGGCACATGTTTATGCGGATCGGTTTCCCAATCGAGTGCAACCAACCCCTCGTGCCTTTGTTAATGTAGTACAACGGGCTCGTGAATCAGGTGACGGCATGCCGGTGCTCCAAGACCTCACGATCAAATACAGGTTCGCACTGAAATACTTGTCGGGAGGATAGTTTATAAAACAAGGTAAAATTTTTTTTTTATTTTTTTTTTATTTTTATACACATATTTTGGTTTATCTTCCTTCTACAATCATTATCTGAAAATTAATGACTCAACTTCAAAGTCACCCTCCTATATAGGAGAACTTTTGTTTAAGCACCACTGGTGGAAATTGAAAATAAAATAGTAGGTACCTGAAAAAATGTATGTCTCTTTAAATATTGACATTCAATTATGAAACACCCCATATAGTTATGGGTATTATTATTTGGTAGAATATGCTAACGATTGTCTGAAGTTAATATTGTTTTAGTGTCAAAGATGAACACATTGATGAAGGTAACCAGGAGAAAATAGTAAATGAGTTATCCGAAAAATTAGATACGACGAACAGCACAAAGTTTGAAAATATGGAGACTTTTGTGGCAAATGGAGAGATTGACATCAAATCTGAATATGTTGAGGATACCATATCCGATTTAACATGGGATAGGTGGGTCCAATTTTGTTGAAAAACAAATCAGTCACTTCTACAGTGCTTATCGAAAAGGTCTCCCCTATATTTATTTTTTGAATAGGTCGAGTTAGCTCTCTGAAATTTGGTGTTATGATATTGACAGAGGTGGATCTAGGATGATGTTTTTATTTATTTATTGTTATTTTTGACATACAAGTATCTGTTTAAAATAATAAATTCATATAAAAAAAAACTATGTGGAAGATTGCCAATAAAATCACTTTATTATCATAATTTTTTTAATTGTAAAATAATCATAATGAACTTCAAAATGAGGTACCACATGATCATGTTAAAAAATCGCTCCAAGACGGGGCCCGACCGTCGTTTTCAAGCTTTCAAGTGCCGCGTTAAAATATTGTATTTTGCGTCAACTTCATCATCCTGCTCAAAAAATAAGTGGGAACGGGGATCTTTTCTAGTCGCCCTACAAATTAGCCATCGTATATTAAAATGTCCCTTTTAATCAATTATCAGAATCAAAGTTGAAGAGAAATTAGAGCAGGGAATTGAAGCTGACTCGACGGCTGATACTGTTGACCAGATAAAAATGGAGTTCCAAGAGTCAGTGAAGATTGAAGAAAATACGGACGCGTTAATGCTAAATGAAGAAATTGACATCAAAACTGAGAGTGAGGAAAGCGATGATTTGGCGTACGTTAAGTGAGTCGAACAATTTAATTTTTTTAATAACATTCAATGCGAATTTGAGATTCCGTTGTAGATTATTGAAATTACGTTTCTTCGGTGAAGATCATTGAAGTAGAATAGAAATGATCTCTTTTTTTCAGTGCACAAATAAAGAAACATTGGGAAAGAGAACAGATGGAAGAAAAAAATTTGTTTAGCCGCTATGTTTGCAACTGTACCGATCGCTCTGACACGGGTTTAAGCGTCCATATCGAATGTGAAAAACATAAAGCATCTAAGATTCATGAATGCACATTTTGTGATTTCAAAACCATTCATGAAAATAATTTATCCGATCATATGTTTAAACACACTAACGCGTCTAACCTGCACATATGATGAGTGTGTATACGTTGTGACTTCAAAACGACCGGAAGCGCTTCTTTTAAAACGCACATAGCAAAACATAAGACTCAAAAGCCCTTTCAGTGTATAAACTGTGATGCGTCGTATAAAGCTAAGCAAACTTTAGATCACCACATTGTACAGAAGCATCCTGAGTTAACCGATTCTGTGTCTTGTAAGATATACGAATGTATACATTGTGAATATAAAACTACATACCCTACGGAATCAGCTGAGCACGACATGAAACATTCTGGAATTAAGCTTCCATGTACAAAGTGTAATGAGTTATTTACCAGCAAACGATCGTTAGACCACCACACTTCACGGAACCATCCTGTGTCCGACAAGATACATGAATGTACGCATTGCGAATATAAAACTACGTACGCGAGGAATTTAACCACTCATACGACGAGACATCATGGAGCTAAGCTCACGTGTACGAAGTGCGACGTTTCATTTGCGCTCAAAATGTCATTAGACAACCACATTTTACAGATGCATCCTGAGTCTGCTGCTTCAGTGTCTCATAAGATATATGAATGTACGCATTGTGAATACAAAACCACACACCCCGGATCCCTTCCTAGACATTTGATGAAACATACTGGAGCTAAGATCAAGTGTGCAAACTGTGATGCGTCGTTTGCGCATAAATCTTCATTAGAGGACCACATTTTACAGAAACATCCTGAATTTGCTACTGCACTGTCTCACAAGTTACGTAAATGTACGCAGTGTGAATATGAAACTGTACACAGGAAGACTTTTAATAGGCATATGATGATACATACTGGAAATAAATTCCCGTGTCCAAACTGTGACGTGTCATTTACAAGTAAAATTTCGTTAGACAACCACATTTTAAAGAAGCATCCTGAATTTACTGCTTCTCTGTCTTGTAAAATATATAAATGTACACAGTGTCAGTATAAAACTACATACAGAGCGGATTTACCTAGGCATGTGATCAAACATACTGGAAATAAGTGTACAAAGTGTGATGAGTCGTTCACAACCAGACAATCATTAAACAACCACATTTTACAGAAACATCCTGAGTTTACTGCTTTAGTGTCTCAGAAGATACACAAATGTACATATTGTCAATATAAAACTACATACGCGAAGCATTTAGTTGAGCATATGATGAGCCATACTGCTAAGCTCATGTGTGCAAAGTGTGATGCATCATTTAAAACTAAAATTTGGTTAGACAACCACATTTTACAGAAACATCCTGAGTGTACTGCTTCAGTGTCTTTTAAGATCCATAAATGTACACGTTGCGAATATAAAACTACTCAAACGCGTTCTCTAGCCGACCATATGACGAAACATACTGGAATTAAGCTCCCGTTGACAAAGAAGCGTCCAGCATTTACTGCTTCTGTGCCTCGCAAGGTACATAAATGTACTCTGTGTCAGTATAGAACTACATACAAAAGTCTTTTAACTATACATATGATGAAACATACTGGAGCTAGGCTCACATGTACAAAGTGTGATGCGACATTCACAAACAAACAATTATTGGACAACCACATTTTACAGAAACATCCCGAGTTTCATGCTTCAGTATCTCATAAAATACACAAATGTACATCTTGTCAATATAAAACTACATACACGAGGTATTTAGATAGACATATGATGAAACATTCTGCTAAACTCGCGTGTACAAAGTGTGATGCGACGTTTACCAGCAAACAATGGTTTGAAAATCACATGTTACAGAAACATCCTGAGGTTACTATTGCTGTGTCTCATAAGATACATAAATGTACAGATTGTGAATATAAATCTCTACAAAAGCATCAATTAACCATGCATATGATGAAACATACTGGAGCTAAGCTCACGTGTCCAAAGTGTGATGCATCATATTTAACCAAACACACGTTAGACAACCATATTGTACAGAATCATCCTGAGGTTATTACTTATGTGTCTCGTAAGATACATGAATGTACATATTGTGAATATAAATCTGTACAAAAGCTGCAATTAACCGTACATATGATGAAACATACTGGAGATAAGTTCACTTGTACAAAGTGTGATGCGTCTTTTACGTTTAAACGATCGTTAGACAACCACATTATACAGAAACATCCCGAGTCTGCTGGTTCTCTGTCTCGTAAAATACATAAATGTACACATTGTGATTATAAAACGATACACGCGCAACGAATGACAAAACACAAAGCTAAGCATATGACAAAACGCAAAGCTAAGCATAATAACACAAAAAGGGATGGATTTACTTAATATGTGAGGAAACATATAGTCGTAGTCAGTGTTTCTTTTGTGACGGATTCGCGTGCCTTTGCAGGCCCAGTGTCCTTCTTTGAGTTTTTAACGTTTCTCTTCAGAAAACGTCATTTCCCACTGGTTGGTGCCTTAGGCACCAGGAATAGTTAATTGAAGTTTTCTATATGGCAACACACTGGATCCCAATGTTGCCAAAATTTAAACTATCCCTCTAATCGCCAATAGTCAACAGATATGTTACACCAACAAGAATGTTGTGCGTTTTCGCGACGAGAACCTAGGGTACTACCAACTTAGTGTACAATTACAATCCCTGATCTGAATAACCACTTGATGGTTCACCCCTTATTTTAAATGTTACTAGTTAAAGAAGTGACAATCTTGATATGAATGATTAGAGTTGTAGAACAAAACCTAAGAGCCGTATCGTTAGTCGTTCTTAAAATAGTAGGACGCCTTTATGGCCTCCTTGATTTTCATAGTTTTTCTCATCCTACAGAAAAGCAGGGGTATGTCTAGGTTTCTACTGTTCAAAAAGAAAACATAACCTCACAATAGGAGAACGCCGACGCTGACACGGAGCAGTAGAAACCTAGAATACCCCAGCATTTCTGAGGGAGAGAAAATAAATGGAAATCAAGGTCATAAGTCGGAACGACTGACGATAAGGCCCTTACATATTCGTGATACGCACTTATTCTAAATAGAAAAAATACTTAAAACGAATATAGTTTTATTAGTATGTATTTATGTATATGTAATTTACTCGTTTATTTCCTATTTTGCAAATCTATTTTTGCTAATGTTATAGTTGTTTGAGGAGGATGAGATCTCAAGTCAAATTTAGAACTTTTTTCTGTATATATTTGTTTTTTTTAATGTCATACTTCATGTAGAATAAACATATTCAAATAATACATGTCTTTTTATTAATAACCGAACATTTTGCTTGAAAAAGCAAATACTAGATATGCTTCCCTTGTTGACGTGATATAACACTCACGTAAAAATCTAACAATTATCGGCGAACTTCACAAGGATGGAAGAATTGTTTTGATATTTATGCTCTTGCTGACTAGACTATCTCCTTTGACTCGTTTCGTATCGGGAACAGGAAATCTTGTTGCCATATAGTGACAGATATTATTTTATTTGGTGAAGTAAACGATTTAATAGATTTCTGGTAGATGTCGCTAACGCTTTAAAACTAGAGATTTCACTAGTATCTATCACGCATTGACGTATACTGGGGTGCAGTTGATCAGCAACTGATATTTTTGTGTTAGTCTGCATCATTGGCAATAGAGAATCGAGTGTAAATCTAGTAAAACTTGTTTGTAGCGTTTTATTCTTTGTATGCAAATGAACTTTTCTAAATAAAAGAGCTTTTACTAAGTACAAAATGAATCTGTCGCGTACAAACCTGACATTGACGTTCCGTCAGAAAACGCGTCTTTTGCCGATTGGAGAATTTTGAAATATTACTAATCAGCTGTCATTCTTCTGTAACTCGTGAGCTGAGAGTATATTCTTCGATTCGTTTCGTATCGAGAAAAGAGAGTCTGCGATCACCATATGATATTTTAATTCAACAGCAGCAGTGTCCGATTTTGCGCTCGCTAAGCGCTAAGCAGCGCTTTTGTGGTTGAGGATAAAAACTCAAAACTGTCAAAGTTAGATTATGGAAAAGTGAAAAATATAGAAAGGCAATGTTTTTTTATTATTTTGTAGGTGATTTTTGATTTTTCAACTTGCCGAGGATTTTTTAAATTTGAGGTCTTTGGATAAAAAATCTTTGACAAACTTGCTTCTTGTGCAATGGGAAGTTCTTTCATTATTAATATGAAGCCAAAAACTGATTTAGAACCAGATGATAAGCCTTTAATAAAGTCAGAGTGCACTTATCCTGACCATGTAGCAGATTACGATAGGTATGATTCCGTTCTGTAAATCCATTGAAATATATCAAATAATGTAGTTGATAACATCGACCTCTAAGATTTTAAAAAATGCTCCTAGATGGTGCTTCAACTGCCTTGCTAAAAATTCATGCATCAACTTCATCATCCAAAAGATAAGTGGAGAAATGTCCTGTAAATTGGTCATCGTGTATCAAAATGCCCTCCTTCATTACCATTTTAGAATTAAACTTGAAGCAAAATTAGAGCCTGGGATTGAAATTAACTCGACAGCAGACTCGGTTGACCAGATGAAAATTGAGTTCCAACGGTCTGAAAAACTGGAAGAAAAACTACTGCTCAACAGCACAAATTTTGAAAACGTGGACGCCTTAGGGCTGCACGAAGAATTTGACATTAAGACTGAGAGTGAACAATGTGACAGCCATGATCTGATGTCCTATAGGTAACTCTCCTTTAATCATCTATGCTTTGTCACAGAATGATATGTGAATTTCTGGTTTAAATATAAAACACAAAAGTAATACCACACTAAAAAAATGTCATATAGTGTATAGTGTCCCCTTGGTACAAGCAGACTACTGGAAATCAGGTTTTTATTCTATAAATAACTTTTGAACGGCACTGCAAAATTTGCACCCCATGCAATTCTTAAACATTCTGAACTTATATGTACTCTTGATCAATAGCTGATGCTACTTGCTTTCAAAGCTTTTATTCATGTGTTTAGTCAAGACAGAAATTAATCTAAATGTATTCCTAACACTGTAGTTTGCTGACTTACTTAGATATTACTATCAGAAAGTGTGATATTTTGTGGTATATCAATCAGTCATTGCTTTGTCCTAAATATTATTAAATCAGTTTTGTCATAATTTAGTACAAGTTTATTCATTGCAAACCATTTCTCAAATACCTGCTGACCAGTATGTTCCAATCCAGTGGTGTTTTTGTCGCTAATGAGATGCTGGTATCATCAACATAATTAATTATTGTAAAGTCATAATTCTTAATGCTATCTCTTAGATCATTGATGAATATGACAAACAATATGGGATCTAACACACTGCCCTGTGGTATACCTGCCGCATCACAAATGAAATCTGACTTGCTGATATTATTTTTTTTATTGCTACACATTGTTTCCTGTTTGTAAGAAGGGAATGTATACTCAGTGACATTAGAAGTGTTACACTCAGAAAAAATATTTTTTTTAACCTGTTCAGAAAGTAGTAGTCTTACATCAATAATGAAACGGTAACATTCTCATGAAATTTCTTTTGACAAGTAATAAGAAAAAAAAATAATGTGCTGGGCAACCCCGCAGCTGAATACGCTCCTGTAAAGTCCGTAGTATGACGAGCAATATGGGGACGTGCGTTGTCTTGCTTAAAAGGACGTGTGGATGGCCCTCTAGATACGGCAGTAAAGTCGTTTGTAAGGCATCGTCAACATAACGCGCAGCAGTCATGTTGCCTTGAACAAAGAGAAGGAGTGATCGGCAACTATAGGCAATAGCCTGGGGGCAACCATCACTCCAACATTCCTGTGTACAGCAAATCCAATATCACGCCGTTGTCCACGGCGGCGTCTTACCCTTCTACGACCGTCGTGCGTACCTAGACAGAATCGCGATTCGTCGCTGAATATGACATTATGCCATTCTGCCTCCCGATGTTGCCGTTCTGTGCTTCAGTTCAAACGTTGACGACAGTGGTCCGCAGTCAGATTAAGCACTAACCGTGAACGGTTTGAAAAAAGTCCAAAGGCTCGAATAATAACAGGTCTACCTTCTGCAAACCATTGGTCAGCGATCTGACGCGTAGCTGCAAAACGGTCTCGTACGGCTAGTTGTTTGAAGCGCCTATCGTGACGCTCTGTGGTAGGCCTCGGCGGACCAATTGGCCTTCTTCGAGTTCCTCTCCCTTTTATCCACACACGACACACACGCACTACCGTCATTGCAGTACAATTACCACGGCGGCCAATTTCGCGATAGGACAAACCTTCATCTCGATAAGCAATAATTCTACCACTGTCGTCGCTAACATGGTGTTAATTTGGACGTCATCGAACTCGAGGCATTTTGTTATGATTAACACTAGTAAATGAAAGGGCAATAACTGAAAATATGAAACGTCACGCCACAGCATCTTTAAATATAGTCATTATGTTGCCAAAAAAACAAGTTGAAGATAACGGGTGGTCCATAAGTCCTTTGAAATTTCAAATTTGAATAAAATTTAACGGGTGAGCGTGAGCGGCGCGGGCGAGGTGGGGGCAGTATCTTCAGTGTCTGGGAATTCAGTCGCCATGGAGTGTTTCACTGGAGCGGATCGTGCTTTTTGTGTGCGCGCGTTTTATCAAAATAATGATTCGGCAACCATTGCGCGGCGTAAATATCGAGAATACCACAATTTACACAATTTTACAAAGTGTCCAACAGCTCAAACGATTAAGAACTGGGTTGCTAGGTTCGAAGAGACTGGTTCGACGTTAGATAAACAGCGGTGGGGTCCACCAAGGACAACTCGTATTGAAGAAAACATCAACATTGTGGCACAGTCTGTTCGTCAAAATCCTACCCAGTCTACTCGTAAGCGTTCCAGTGCACTAAACGTACCCAGAACATCTTTACAGCGGATTTTAAGGAAAGATTTACGTCTGCACGCTTACAAAATTCAGTTAGTGCAGGAATTAAAAGATAATGACGCTATTCAGAGACTAAACTTTGCGAATGAAATGTTGAATCGATTTTCTTCGCTCAATAATGTGTTGTTCTCGGACGAGGCTCACTTCCATTTAAACGGACATGTAAATAAACAAAATTGCCGTTATTGGAGCCCCGAAAATCCAAGGCGTAAGCATCAGAAGCCCTTACACAGCCCTAAAGTTACAGTTTGGGCTGCTATGTCAGCGCATGGCATCGTAGGCCCTTATTTTTTTGAGGACGACAGAGGTCGCGCATTAACTGTTACTTCGGAGCGGTATGTATCAATGATAGAAGAGTTTTTCACACCAGCGTTGCAGAATTTTCCAGGCTATAATACGTAGACCTGGTTTCAACAGGACGGAGCAACTGCCCACACCTCCAACACTTCTATGCCCGTCGTCTGTCACCTTTTTCCCAGCAAAGTAATTTCTCGAAGAGGAGACATTTCCTGGCCACCACGCAGTCCAGATTTGACCCCAATGGACTTCTTTTTATGGGGCTACCTCAAGAGTAAAGTGTACGACACCACTCCGCGATCAGTTGAGGTCCTGAAAGAAAATATCCGAAGAGAAATGGCAAGCATTACAGTGTTGACTTGCCGCGCAGTCATCGACAATTTTAGACGTTTTTTTCCAGCTCAAATGACTTATGGGCCACCCTGTATTTTTTCTGGGTGTAACACTTCTAATGTCACTAAGGGTTGTCTCGAAAGTAAGGTTCCCGACGCCCTCGTTCCATTTCCGTTCAATTTGTCAAATAGAATGTTATGATTTAAGCTGTCATATGCTATAGAAAGCTCAAGATATAACATTCAATGCAAATTTGAGATTGATTATTGAAATAGATTAGAAATGATTAATCTCTTTTTTTCAGCGCCCAGATAGAGGAGTGTTGGAAAAGGGAACAAAAATATTCGCACATCGAAGAAGAAAAAGAGTCATTTAGCTGCTATATTTGTAACTATTTGTGTTATTCTGAAAAGGAATTAAATGACCATATCAAGGAGAATCATTCGGCATCGAATTTATCAGGGCACATGTTGAAACACACCAATTCAAAAACTTTTGATCAGTACATATGCAAACATTGTAATAAGTCATTCAAAGTGAAGCTGTCGCTGTTTGACCATATTCTAAAGAAGCATCCCAACTTTAGCGGGACAGTTCCTAGTAAGATACATGAATGTATGCATTGTGCATTCAAAACAACCGGTAGGAATATTATTAAAAGGCACATGGTAACGCATGATACTCACAAGCACTTTGAGTGTACAAACTGTGAGGCATCATTTAAAACTAAGCTATGTTTAGATGACCATATTTTAAGAAAACATGCCGAGTTTACCGATTCTGTGTCTCATAAAATACACAAATGTGCAGAATGTGAATATAAAACTACCTTCCCAGACTCCTTAGCTAGGCATATCATGAAGCATACAGGAACTAAGCTCATGTGTACAAAGTGTGATGCGTCATTTACAACCAAACTACGGTTAGACAACCACGTTTTAAAGGAGCATCCTGGATTTACTGCTTCTGTATCTAGCAAGATACACGAATGTATACATTGTGAATATAAAACTACATACGGGAGGGACTTGGCTGGGCATATGATGAAACATACTGGAACTGAGCACACGTGTACACGGTGTGATGCTACATTTACGAAGAAATTATCATTAGAAAACCACATTTTACAGAAGCATCCAGAGTTGGCTGCTTCCGTGTCTAGTAAGATACATGAATGTACACGTTGTGAATATAAAACTACATACAAAAATTATTTAGCTGTTCATATGATGAAACATACTGGAGCTAAGCTTACGTGTACAAAGTGTGATGCGCCATTTATTAAGAAAATAACATTGGACGACCACATTTTACAGAAGCATCCAGAAATGATTGCCTCTGTTTCTCGTAAGATATACGAATGTACACGTTGTGAATATAAAAGTACTGAAGCGCGACATTTAGCTAGGCATCTCATGAAACATACTGGAGCTAAGCTTTCGTGTACAAAGTGTGATGCGACGTTTATACTTCAACGGTCACTGGAGCACCACGTTTTACGGAAGCATCCTGAGTTTACTTCTTCTGTGTCCAGCAAGTTACATGAATGTACACAGTGTGAATATAAAACTATACACGCGCCATATTTAGCTAACCACATCATCAAACATACTGGATCTAAGCTGACGTGTACAAAGTGTGATGCGTCATTTGCAAGCAAACAATCGTTACACAACCACATTTTGCAGAAACATCCCGAGTTGGCTGCTTCCGTGTCTAGCAAGATACATGAATGTACACAGTGTGAATATAAAACGACGTTCACGCAATACATAACAAGACATAAAGCTAATCATATGCGAAAATAGATCTTGAAGATCCATTATTCTGAATGCGTGCCGTGTGCCACGTGTAATTTCAACAAATCTTTTTTGAAGTAGTCTATGTTATCTGACGTTTACCTTGAATTGTCTTATTTTTAATAAAAAAGCACTAACATTATTAAAAAATAAAGTAACTAAATGAAACGAAATTCCAAAGAACGAGCAGACGTAAAAACTTGAAACTACCACTACCAGCTTCTTTTGTGCATTGTGGACAGAAATATATAGAATCCCTCCATAATTTTTGCGCTTCCCAACAATATTTATATCAGCGCCTTGTCGCTTTCCCTTTCAAATCTTTTGGGCAAAATTCTGGGACGAGAAATCATGATAGGTCGTGCTTTTGGAGCAGGTGGTAACAAGGATTCCATAATAGATAATCTGAAATCGTAAAAATTGCTTTCCCGTCGGCTTTTGAATAAATAGCAAGAGTTTATAAGCATACTAAACAAGACTGAACGCACCTGGCGCGCTGACAGTGTTAAACGAATATAATTGTATTTACTAATTAGCATTCATTTATGTATACGAATTTAACTGGTACACTTCCGGATTTCGCATTTATTTTACCTAATGTTTTTGTTGTTTGAGGACGTGATCTCAATTCAAACTAAGCACAATTTTTTGCTGTACATATACAGGGTGACTTCGAAGTTGAGTCATTTATTTTAACAGTGAGTAGATCTGATCAAAAGAAATGTTTTTTTCCTTTACCATTTTTCTGGTAAAATTAAAGTAACAAAGTTATAGCCCTTTGGAAGTTTGAGTACCGCCCTGTCTCAATAACATCATGTGCTCGTGTTTGGCAAAAACGGATATAATCCACCTTATCGGTTCATCGCATCGGAAACAAAAAAGCGAAAGAATTTGGAACGATGTTTACTTTATTCAGTTCAGTTATACATACAATCAGTGTCAGTCGCGTGTCAATAGTGTCTGTTGCGTGGCTCAAACGAAATAAAAAATGGCACATGTTTATGCGGATCGGTTTCCCAATCGAGTGCAACCAACCCCTCGTGCCTTTGTTAATAATAGTACAACGGGCTCGTGAATCAGGTGACTTCAGACCTCACAGGGGACCTCACGATCAAATACAGGTCCGCACTGAAATACTTGTCGGGAGGATACTTTATAAAACAAGGTAAAAATTTTTTTTTATTTTTTTTTTATTTTTACACACATATTTTGGTTTATCTTCCTTCTACAATCATTATCTGAAAATTAATGACTCAACTTCAAAGTCACCCTGTATATATATATTTCTTCATTGTTTTACAGAGTTTTTATGTACATTTCAAATTGTGTTCGAAATAAAGATGTATAAATAATACACGTTTTTCTATCGATAAACCAAAAATTTATTAAGTAAATACAGAGTTGTTCAAAAAAGCAATACTGGATTGGAATCACCATGTTGATGTGGTAGCACTCCTAAGGGACACCCTCGAAATTCTTTGGTGTCTAAAAAAAAAATTTAATCAAATATTGAACTTTAAAAAAAAGTAACATTTTGTCATGTAGATAAAAAAATTTGTAACCTGTTAGTAGTGTCCATCTTGTGGTAGCCACTTCAATTTCTTCAACTGGTGGTTCAGTCTTTATCACTGGAACTTCAGGAACATCATCAATTTCAGGTAAATCATCTACGGTTGCTAAAGAATTGTCCCATGACATATTTTGCTTTGACAGTAACTTTGATAATAACTTTCTGGTTTCTTCTATGTAGTCTTCATTTTTGCCACCGTAACACAGCATACTAAAAACAAAGTAAAAAATGATTTTCTCAGCACCAACTCTCTAGCCGGTATTTTATGTTGCGTTGAAACATTGATTTACCTGATGGCCGTATCGTCAAAATTGTAGAATGCCTTTATGGCTTCCTTGATTTTCATACTTTTCTACTGTTACGTGGCAGCGCTCTACTTTGAGGTTATGTTACAAATATCTATTCGCATCACATTGTTCATGCTTTTGATTTATATCTTCTGAAATCTCTTACGATTCAAAAAGAAAACATAGCCTCACAATAATAGAGCACCGACGCTGACACGAAACAGTAAAAATCTAGAAATACCTCGGACTTTATGAAGGAGAAAAAAGACTATGAAAATCAAAGAGGCCATCAAATCATCCTACAATAACTGTAGAAACGACTGAGGATATGGCCCTAAAAATTCAATGAATAACATATTCTGCCAACCCAATATTACATCCCTAAAAACTTACAAGTACTTTTTTATTTTCAGATTTTCACTATGTTGATTTAAGTATGAAACACCCTGTATAGGGACTTGTTTGTTTTTTTTGTGTACTTTCTATTATATTTTTCTGAATACAATATGGGTTGGGTATCTTTTCAAATAATCAACGATAAACCTGAGAATCCATTTAAATAAAAATTACCTTTCTAGATAGTTGAATACATATTCATTGGGTGAATTCAATACCATGTCCTCAAATGTTTGTACCTCCTCCACTGGTACCTGATTCAATGATTTGAATTTAATCTTGCGTTCAATTTCTCCTTCAGACATATTTTCTTCCTTTTTCACGTATTTCTTACTGATTAACCCTTTGAAGATTTCATCAATCCACAAAGAAGCCACGTTTCTGAGAGGACTTGACATCAAGGAATCGCCAGTAAACTGATACAGTTTACCCAGGAGTGGAATCAGCAAGTTATAATCATTGAGAATGTCCAACAAGTCAATCCAAATATCCCTGAACGATGACGGTATTCGCGTGGAGTCAAGTTCTGGCATTACACCGAGCATAAAATCATTGGAAACCAATACCTCTACATTTTTTTCCATAGCTGTTTGATTATTTGGATCTGAAAGCAATTGACGAATGGTTTCTTCTAATACTGACTTTATTGTGTTCGCGTCCAGTTGATCTGGTCTCACTTTGTATTTCCTTTTTACGAGATTGCTCAATTTATTCATATATGCGCCACTTAGAACTTCATCGTTTTGATTGTGGATATTCAGGATCAGCCTTAAAAATTAAAATGAAGTTTTGAACAAAAAAAAAGTATATATGTATATAATTTGCATTATATTAACTCTCTCTTGAACGGGCGCGGACACGATAAAATCTTCTCCTAACCGGACAAAAAAATAAATAAAACGCCATCTTCGTTAGGGCTTTCGCGAGTAAACATGGAATTTACCGACCGACCGAATTATGGACTTCTCCGAGTTGGTCGGGGATTTACCAATCTTATTCTTTGGGTGCTTTCCATTCAGTATTAATCTGACGGAAAGGACACCATTGAGCGACACATTCGTGGTAGAAATGGCACCAAATTATGACTGAGTGGTTGCAAGACCTAGATTGGAAAATGGCTAAAGAAAAAAGACCATTTTGTTCCAGTTTCTTCAATATTTTTAGTTTTCATTAAAAACACGATTTTTGTTGTATTTCCTTTTCAACACTTTCAACTGGTCCATCCAAAGGAAATTTAACTGTTGGAGAATAATATATGACTAACCTTGCATACAGTTTTATAACTTCTATAATTTCTAAGCCAAAGTGTTCTTCATACACCTCATAGTCTTGCACTAACTCAAACTGTTGTTCCCAGTATCGTTCCTTTAACCACCTTAGCGCCGTTTGCAGACCTACTTTTAAAATGTCTTTAGATGGCAATTTGTGGGCGTGCGCCACATCATGCCTAATGTCTATCAGCCATTTTGGGATATCGTGTTTCTCTACTGAACGTGTAAAGGCACCTTGTCGATCTGTATTGGCGGCACAAAGATTCAAAAACCTAGAAATGTTGATTAATAACAAATACAATTCTCACTGAAAACAACTGCAACCCAACGTGACGCATGTATTTGAATGAAATCTTTCTCACTAAAGATATGGCAACCTGCGCAGTCGCTTAGTTGTTTTCAGTAAGAACGCTAAAGCAATGCAACCACAGTTGAAGTAGAGTTGCAATCGCGTTTTGATACATTCAATCTTTACCTCATTATTGATAATGCGTAGATTTGAGAGATCTGAGTTTCAGCTAGTTCACCATCTTCCAACAGCAAGGCCTGCAAGACTATCAAAGTTCCTTCTAGACCAGCGGAAAGGTGAGGTGTTCGACTTTTCCATATTTCCAGTATTCGTAAAGCTGTACTATAATCTGTTTCACTTCCTGCGTGTAGGCTGTAGTAGACTTTTCTCCATTCTAACCTACCGGAACGATACCACTTTAACAACTTTAGTCAATGAGAATTTTAGAAAGTACATACGAACTGAACCAAGGAACGAACACCTTCCCACTGTGTTTTTGTGATAAGGCCATGATTTTCTACACAAAACCTATACAACGACCCTTGCGTAAAAGGCTGCTTGTTTACTGTCAAAATCGAGTTATAACCTAACAAAAAAGAGATTGACTCTAGCCAATAGCTATTGGCCAACGGCGCTAACCAATACTATTGGTCAAGGGCGCGGATAGCGAAGAACCAATGTGGATTGAGAGCAGGTGTTGATACTCATATCTCTCAGATAAATGTATACCACTATCATTTATGCAGGTGGTCGTGTAACGCGACAATGTCACTCAAAAAGGCTCGTTGGATGCTAATAAGCATGAGCCTTATCAACATTTTAAAATTTGCCGGAGTGCTATTATCTGTGAATGAAATTTTTTTCGTTTTGTGGACCTTCCCCGTCGTATTATGGTAAATGTTGCTCGAATAGAAAGCAAAACCATTAATAATCTGGATGTAAAAAATGATCAGCTTTCAACACTATGAATAAGCCAGAAAAAGCTTATTCTAGAATGTAGCGTAAGACTGATAATTAAAATGTACTAATGGGTAATCACCCGGCAGTTTGGTGAATTACTAGCGATATTGTCAATTGTATCCATGTTTTAAAACTTTTAAAATCAGTGACCTTGCATGTGCTTGCTGTGCCTGAAAAATTAGAGAATCAATGAAGCTCACTATTGGATGCAAATTCTATTGTGAAGTTAGTATACACATTTATCTAGAATCGGCTCATAATCGTTAGCGCTATCTATCAGCAAGGAACAGCATATACTATCATGAGTTATAACACCTTTTTTCAATCCACCTTTAACCGTCACCCATTCAAAGGCGACGCCATTGTTGCCGTATCGGGGGATTTTCCCCCAAATATGGGGTTTTTATGCAGCTTAGGGAATTTTTGGAAGATTTTTTAGGGCATAAATTTAATCGTTGGGTATGTTATTCCTTCTTTAACTACTAAAAACAGTCAACTGCTAAGAAACAATTTTATCTTTCTGTAGCTTTTTCTTCCTCCATGTCGCATCCATCTCCATCTACGCTGACCCATCATGTTTCGGGAGAAAGAACTAAACGATTACTATTTTTCGCTGCGATTTTGCACGTATTTGCTCGTGTGTTTGTTCGGGAGAACTCTGGCAACACTGAGCGACGCCTGGAACTCCCTTCATCACTCTCCAAAACAGCTGAAATTACATAACATTTGACAGCTACTTGACATTCGTGTTTAACCTAAAAGTAGGTTTTGCATCGATTTTTGTATTTATTACTCTCATACATTAAAAATTGGATTCAACAATTTGCGCATTCTGTGTTTACTTTCTCTAGACGGAATATCACAAATGGGCTCAGAACAATCTACCCAAGGGGCCCAGAGGCAGGGCAGCTTGGATAAACAGAAACAAATAAACATACGAAGACAACATACTATCGCTAATCCCAGCTCTTCTGTCTCAGACGAACCTGAAGCAGATGGTGGAAGACCAGGATCTATTTCCCCAGGGCCCAGCTTATGTAGTGATATAGATTTACCATACATTAGTTACACCGTAAACAGACCGATCGGGGGTGAGCTTACAAAGGTTTTAAATTTATTCAAATATGTCAACGTATTCGGACTATTCGAATTCGTTGTTGAATGTGGAATATTACTTATCTGATTCTTCTTAAAATAAAAATTATTCTTGGGCTTTCCAATAATTTCTAATCTCATTTGATCACTTTAGTTTTGGCAATCTGATGCACGATTTCTGCTTAAAAAAGTAAAAACCGTTTTTCTGCATTATCATTACAATGTGACAATACCACCGTACAGATAAATCGGTTTTATTTTTTAGTATGTTCATGCTATTATTTCAGATTCACCAAAGCTGGCTAACAAGCAACTGGTAAAACCTAAAACAACCAGAAAGGTACAGCAGATAAAACAGTTAAAGTCCAAATCGCCGCACAACATTGTGGTTGTTAGAGGTGGGAGTATCCCAACACCTGGTACAGAAAAAGA